CATGTGCATATATATATGTATATGTATGTATGCATAGTGACATAGTGAGTGTATAAATAGGCACAGAATCACCAGGACACCTTAAGTAGATACCGTCAAAGGTTTTCCAAGAGGCACGAGGCACCCATACCAGTAGTATATGATAATTCCATTTTTTCCACATGTTTGCTAACTAGTGTTTGTTTTTTTTTTGGTACCGGGGATCGAACTTGGGTCCTTGCGCTTGCAAGGCAAGCAACGGAACCACTGAGCTAAATCCCCGGCCCCGCTAACTAGTGTTTTGTTTGGTCCTAGGTTTTGTTTTGTTTGTATCTTCTCATGTTAGCCAAGCAAGAGGGTATGGCAAGATGGCCCCTTGGGACTCTGACCTGAGCCCTTTGGGAGTTTGTGTGGTACAGAGATGAGAGCCAAGGCCAGTTCTAAAGAATTCTCCAGACCAAAGTAGGTGGTGGAGGCAGAGTGAAGGTGTGAGCTACCGTCTCTCTGAGGTCAGGACAAAGCAGGGGGCTTTTAGGAAGCCCATATGGACTCCAGGTCCCTCTTGGACCCTTACCTGGAAAACCCAGAGGATCCCAATAGAAAGGTGGCCCAAGAGACAAGGAACAGTCAAAGCATGGCAGTCAGAGGTGAGGTGTTGCCAGGGTCTGGGGACAAAATCACTAGAAAGCCCAGCACAGGAACCGCTGAGGGCTCAAGGACGGGCCAGCCCTGGGCGTGTCTTTTCCCCAGAGGACACCTGGACAGGTGGAGACAGGGTGGCAAGGGCTTCAGATGAGGAGGATCACAGAATGGGACGAGCCACTGAGCTGGGGCAGCGCAGGAAGGTTCAAGTTAGGTACAAGTGACCCAGACACCCTCCTGAGCGTTTCTGTCCCATAGTGTCCATGGAAACCCCACACCCTAAAACTTGTTCCCCTGCACAACTGCAGACTTCATTTAATGGCAGCTCTGTCCTTCCAGTTGCTGGTCAAACACCCTTCTATTTTCTCCAACACATTCTGCCCATGAGCAAATACTGCCGTCTCTATTTCATATGCTCTCTGTTGTTGTTGATGATGATGTTTTTCAGCTATACCGAGGATGGAACCTATGGGTTTCACACTGAACTACATTCTTAGCCCTTTTTAATTTTAAAATTTTGAAACAGCTAAGTTGCCCAGGCTGAACCTGAAATTGTGATCCTCCTGCCTCAGTCTCCCAAGTGCTGGAATCACAGGCATGTGCCACTATGCCTGGCTGTGCTGTTTTATTTATTTATTTATTTATTTATTTATTTATTTATTTTCGGTATCAGGGATCAAACTTAGGAGTGCCAGTGAGCTAAATCCCTGGCCCCATGTGCTCTATGTTTTCCCTTAATTTTTTTTTTTTTTTGGTACCAGGGATCGAACTCGGGTCCTTGCGCTTGCAGGGCAGGCAGTGGAACCACTGAGCTAACTCCCTGGCCCTATGCTCTATGTTTTAAAATAAGAGTGTGGTCAAATATATTCTTGGTGTTTATGGGTTTGTGATTCCCAAATTGTTCATAGTTGGCCAACTTCAGGAAGGTCAGGCTGGGGATTTAGCTCAGTGGTTCCAGTGCCTGCCTCGCAAGCACAAGGTGCGGAGTTCGATCTCTGTTACCAAAAAAAAAAAAAGCTGCTATGTAGGAAGGTCAGAATTAGTCTGGTGGTTCTCTAAGTTTACAAAAGAAATTTCTTTGTATATACTTGAGCTACTAAAGGCTACTTCCTCTGTTCCCACCACCGCCTGAGCATCTTCACCTCCATGAAGAATATGGGAGGTTTCAGCATCAGCAAGTTGGCAAAACAGGACTTTCCAGGGAAACACCATTTATTTGGGGTTTTTTTTTTGTTTTTTTATAGACACAGTCTCACTATGTTGCCCCGACTGGCCTTGAACTTGTGGCTCTAGCAACCCTCCTGCCTCAGCCTCCCTAGTGGATGGGACTGTGGTCATATTGCACCATCAATAGGTACATCTGGCCAGCACCATCAATTTGAACAATTCTCCACGTGTGAAAACATCTTTCCAAGAGCTAGGGAAACAGGTGAGCGATTATAGCACCTGGACATACTAAAGAAATAAGAAAACATACTGCAAAGAGGGTGGGGAGGGGACTTTGCCTTTTCTGCATCACCCCTCCCCAGACTCAGGCAGCACTGTGTGGAAAGTGAGACCCAGGGAAGTGAGTGCCAGACCTTGCCTGAGACCCTAGCTCTGGGCCATACAGGAAACACAGGAGCAGTCAGGCCCACCCAGGGCAGTCTCCAGCTCGATACCCATGGACCGAGGCTCATCATTCTGGCCTGGATTTCAGGCCTGCCTCGTGTGTCTGAGTTATTTCACTTAGCATTATGGTCTCTAGGTGCATCCATTTTCCTACACATGACTCAAGTTTACCCTTCTTTATGGCAGAGTGCAATTCCATTGTGTATAAATACCACATTTTCTTGTTTTTGCAGTATCAGAGATTGAACTCAGGACCTTGCGCTTGCTAGGCAGGTGGGGCACCACTGAGCTACATCCTTGGCCAATACCACATCTTCTTTATCCATTCATCTGTTGATGGATATATAGGCTGTTTCCAAGATTTAGCTATTATGACTTGTGGAAATGCATGTATCACTGTAATATGACGCCTTTGATTCTTTTGGGAAGGTACCTAGAAAGAGAACAGCTGAGTCTAATGGAATATCTCGTTTTAGTTTTTTGAGGCATCTCCATACTGATTTTTATAGTGGGTATACTAGTTGACATCCCACCAATAATAATAATGTAGAACCCCCCCCCCCACACACACACAGCCTTGCCAGTATTGGTTACTATTTGAGCTCTCTCTCTCTTTCTTTTTTTTTTCAGTACCTGGTATTGAACTTGAGACCTCGTGCTTGCAAGGCAGGCATGGCACCACTGAGCTAAATCCCCAGCCTTTTTTTGGGTTTTTTTTTTTTTTTTTAGATAGGGTCTTGCTATGTAGTTCAGGCTGGCCTTGAACTTACTATGTAGCCCAAGCTTGTCTCAAACTCACAGTGATCCTGCTGCCTCAGCTTCCCGAGGCCTGAGATTACAGGTATGCACCACTATACCTGGCCCAGTTGCCCACTGTTTGATTGAGTCTTTTGCAGTACTGGGGATTGAACCCAGGGCCTCACACATGCTAGGTAAGCACTCTAGTTCTGTACTACATCACCAGCCTCACATTTTTTGTTTTTGTTTTTGAAATCAGGTCTCACTACATAGCTCAGGCTGGCCTCCAACTCAAGAGCTTCTTGCCCCAAACTCCTGAGTGCTGGAATCACAGTCATGTGCCACCATCCCCATCCCCAGACTTTTAAAAATTTTGAGACAAGGGTCTCACTAAATTCCCAGGCTGGTCTTGACTTGTAGTCTACCTGCCTCAGCTTCCCAATGTGTGGATTCACAGGCATATGCTAACCAGGTTGAGATTTGGTTGTTTTTTGGATTTTTTTGGCCTGGAACTTGCTACGGAGTCCAGGCTGGTCTAGAACTCAAGATACTGAGTTGATTTCTTAATGGGAATCAAGACCCCAGACAGCCAAATGAAGCTAAGGAAATTGTTCTTAAAAATCTATTTCTTCATGTTGCCTAAGAATGATATATTGGTCTCCTTTGATTAGACCTAACCAAATTATATGTTTTATTTCTAAGTTCTCCCAATTTCAGAATTATTAACAATTGAGCTGAACTTTATGTGAGCTTTTCTAAGCTTATTTATACACATTCCCCTGGGCCTAAAAAACACTTGAGAATTTGTATGTGCTTTCTTTGTAATGCACTCTAGAAACCAAAACTGATGCTGGAAAAATCTTATGAAGCAAATAATACCTTTTTCTTTTTTTGGTACCGGGGATCAAACTCAGGACCTTGCAATTGCAGGGCAGGCGGCAGAACCACAAAGCTAAACCTTTTGTAGTTATTTTACATTATCTTCTCAACGCATCCACTGGGAGAGAATTCTTTGCAGGTTTCCGTCTTTGTTATTCAGGAACAGCTGTAAAATCTGTAAGGAAGGAATGGGAAAGAGAGAAAGCAATGAGAAAGTGAGCTGGAAACGCGTGTTCTGATTCACGGGCTGGGAGAAGATCATTACTGGAAGACAAGACTACTGCGTAACACAGGAAGGAAGGGCAAAGGCCACGAGAAAGACAGTGGAACGGGAAGATCGGAAACAATCGCGGAGAGGCACAACACGGAGGGCTACGAATGGACAGCAGGAAAGCAGAGTCTGAGCTCCTGCAGGCCGGCTGAGAGGGCAGAGCGCAGCCTTGCTGAGGAGGCGGCGCCCCAGGCGTGGGGGGAGGGGGCGGGCGGGATCAGCCCTGGGAGGCGGGAGGCGTCCGGGACCAGTGGCGCACCTCGCCTGCACCTCGGGGTTTTCGGCTAGGACAGCCCGATGGTGTGGAGAAAAACAGTGCTGGAGATTCACGGAGAGTCGTGACAAACCGAATTGCTCACTCCCCATTCTATTATTTCCTTTATTACAGGAGGTGGGAAGAGCAGCAACAAAAGGGCAAAAATGGGAAATTTCAAGGCACAGTGGGGCTGGGAGTGAGTGAATGTGGTCATTAATGCAAGGCTCGTGTTGGCGAGGGATGGCAGAGAAGACTGGAAAGCTAGGGCAGAGTCAGCCTGCGCCAGTGCTCAGAGGTTAAGGCGAGGAGCTGGGCTCCAGCAAGGAGAACGGAAGGGTTTTCAGCAGCAAAGTAAAATCGTGAGCCTAGTCCTAGTGTTTTAGGGGGGATCAGTTTACCAACTTGGTAAGAGTCGCTGGGAAGGGAGATAAGTGGCAAGAAAGCAAGCTAGCCCATGTGATGGTGCACACCTGAAATCCCAGCATTTGGGAGGCTGAGGCAGGAGAATCGCTGTGAGTTCGCGGTCATCCTAGGCTACATAGTGAGACTCTGTCTCAAAAAAAGCAACAGCCGGGGATTTAGCTCAGTGGTGCCGCCATCTGCCTTGAAAGTGCAAGGTCCTGAGTTTGATACCCGGTACCAAAAAAACCCCCCAAAACAAAAAAAGTAACTCAAAAAAATAACAACAGGGCTGGGATGTAGCTCAGAGGTGTTGCACCTGCCTGGCAAGCGTAAAGTCCTGAGTTCAATTCCTGTACCGAAAAAACAAAAACAACAAAGTTAGAAAACTAAGCTGCATAGCACACAGCAAAGGCCTTAAAACAAAACAAAACAAACCTTGCAAGTATTACCATGGAACTGCTGCCTGCAATTTGAGAACTCTTAAAGAATAGATAAACCCTGGAAGATTTAGACAAGTGATATTAAAAGGTATGTGTATGGGGTGTTCGGTAGATGGGGATCAACTAAATTAACTAATATATCAATTTTAAGCCAACTATAAGACAGTGGTTCTCAACTTTTGAGTATTAGGGACACATCTATAAAGACTTTAACTTCTTTTTTGGTGGTGGTGCTGAGGATTGAACCCAGGGCCTTGTATGCTAGGCAAGTGCTCAACCACTGAACTACATTCTCAGTGATAGTATGTCAACTTTTTTTTTCAGTACTGGGGACTGAACCCGGGAAATACTGAACTGCACCCCTCTTAAAATTTTTATTTTGAGATAGGGCTTGATAAATTGTCCAGCCTGGGCTTGAACTTGCAATCGGCCTGCCTTGGCCTCCTGAGTTGCTAGAGTTACAAGAATGCACCAGCGTGGCCACTAATATTTCATTTATCTGTGTATGTGTGTGTGGTTTTTATGTTTGTTTTATTTTGTTTTCTGGAGACAGGGTCATGCTATGTAGTCCAGGTTGGCCTTGACCTCACTGTGCAGCCAGGGCAGACTCCAACTCCCAGCCTTGCTGCCTCGGCCTGCCCAGTGCTGGGACCCCAGGCATGTGCCACCATGCCCCAGCCCTTTGGCTTTTTGGTTGTCCAGCACACATCCGTTTTCCCTTCTTGTGCTAATGGCACTCTGATTTCTTGGCCTACGTGTACCAGAGGTGTGGGTAGCTTCTGTTATGCTTTGGGTCTCAAATTTCCTCAAAAGTCTCCTGTGTTCAGAGGGAGGGCCCCAGGAAGGAGACAGGACCATGAGAACTCTAACTTCATCAGTGGATCAATACACTAACTGATTCTTGACTGTTAGCAGAACGCCAGAGTATTGTCCCATTGTGACAGAATGAAACCGTGGACCAAGTAGGTATGGGACAAGCAAATTTTTTTTTGAGACAATGTCTTGCTATGTAGTTCAGGCTGGTCTTGAACTCACTATGTGTTCAGGCTGGCCTCAAACTCTTGGCAATCCTCCTGCCTCAGCCTCCCAAGTGCTGGGACTCCAAGCATGTGCCACCATATCTGGTGTTAATTTATTTAAAAGCTATTAAGACAAGGAAATGAAGCTCCTCCTAGCTGAGAGGGGGTCTGAGTAGGATACCCAGGCTTGCTCTTTGTCTGGAGGTTATTAAGGGGTTTCAAAGGGAGCTTGTGCTATTGTGTAAGCAATATAATCTCTACCCTAAAGAAGACTACATATTTTTAACATCCAGTCTGTGCAGTGATCACGAAGTGTCCATCCAGGGCCTGTTTGCCCTTGAGCCAACACCCCACCTGATCATGGTCTGAGGAGGTCCCAGACAGCTGAAGAACACCTGGCAGATATTTTGTAAGGTTCCTAGAGGGCTGTGACTCAGCAGACTTCATTTTCTGCTTTTTGACTCCATTTTAGGGCTGCTGTTTTTCTTTTCCCCCCACTATGTAGTTTAGGCTGGCCTCAAACTCAGTGATCTTCCTGCCTCAGCCTCCTGAGGGCTGGAATTACAGACATTTGCCACCATGCCCAGCAGGGCCACTGTCCTTACTGCCAAATAGAACCTTAACTCTTGCCTCACTAAGTTTTGTAACAATTTGATGGCATCATGGGAGGGGTGATGCCATCCTAGAAGGTGGGCCATGGTTGAAGGAATGGGATGGTGGGTGGTCCTGGTGACTATTTCTTGTACCCAACCCCTTCTTCACCGGCTCTTCCCCTTTCTCTCTCTTCTTCCTAGCTGTCATGAAGTGAGCAACTTTCTTCTGCCACACCCTCCCACCTTGATGTTTCTGCCTCACACAGATCTAAAGAGATGGAACTAGCCAACCATGGACTGACACCTATGAAACCATGAACCACATAAGCTTTTCTTCCTTTAAGCAGATTGTCATGGTTATTTTGTCTCAGTGACAAAAAGCTGGTCAACACACCTAATTCCATCAAAAGGTGAGTCTGTCCCTGGGACCAGCCAAGTATCTGGTCATACTAGTTGGTTCAGGGAAAGTTATTTGACCAAATTTGCCTAATTATAATAAGTCATGGGAAAAGACATCTTTTCAACTTTATTTTTTGACTATTTTTCTGAGATGGCCTGGGGAGAGTGTCTCACCAAGTTGCCCAGGGTGGCCCTGAACACATGGGCTCCTGATCCTCCTGCCTCAGACTCCAGGAGAGCTGGGAGTGTAGGCAAATGCCAATGCCAAGTCAGCACCTCAACTTTTTTTTGGAACAGGCTCTCCTTCTGTAGTGCAGGCTGGCCTCCTTCTGCCTCTGTTCCTCAAATGCTGGGACTATAGGCATGTAGCACCACCCTGATCCACTAACTTTGAAACTAGAATGATATAGGATGGTGAAAGAAAACCCAAAAAAAGGATGGCGAACTTCTAAAGTCATCTTCCCACCTCAAGGTAAAAGCCACTGAGATAACTGACGCAGTAGAAATGTAACCAAGAGATAGAGAAATTGGGTCCTGATGCTACTATTTGAGCCCCTGATTGCATTGTGATTGAAGTCTACTCCCAAACTTTTCAATTGTATGAATCAACAAATTCCACGTTTTGCTTAGGACAGTTTTAAAAAATTAAGCCAATTATTTGTTAGAGAGAATCCTTATAAACAAATACCAGTTGGGCTCTGTGGTGACCTTGTAGTCCTAGCTATGTGGGAAGCAGAGGCAGGAAGATCTCAAGTTCAAAGCCAACCTAGGGCACATAGTAAAACTTTGTTTCACCGGGGATTTAGCTCAGTGGTTTCGCCGCCTGCTGCGCAAGCACAAGGACCCGAGTTCGAGCCCCAGTACCAAAAAAAACCAAAAGAACTTTGTCTCAAAAAAATAAAACCAAACAACACCCAATCTCACTAATACGTGAAATCTTAAAAAAGTCTAACTCATAGAAGCACAGGAGGGTTCCAGTTGGGTGGAGAATTGGGGAAATGGTTAAAGATACAAATTTTCAGTTAGATAGGAGGAATAAGTTCAAAAGATCTATTGTACAACATGTAAACTATAGTTAATAACAATATATTGTACACTGAAATTTTCAAATATACACAAAGTCAAGCAATGCATAAGGCCCTGGGTTTGACATCCAGCACCGTAAAAACCAACCAACGAACAACACACGCACAAAGATCAAGCAGGGCTGGAGATGCAGCTCGGTGGTGGAGTACATTTAGCATGCCTGAGGCTCCAACCCTAGCACCACACAAATAATAAAAGCCACAGCTCCCTGAACTGAAGGCCATCTACAGGCTCCTCTCTGCCTTGACCACAGGTCCTCACAGAGCCTTTTTTTTGCTACCAGGGATTGAACTCAGGAACTTGCATTTGCAAAGCAAGCGGTGGAACCACTGAGCTAAATCCGAGGCCCTCAGGGCCTGTTTTCTGAGCCTAGCTGGGTCCCCAGCAGCCCCTCAATGGATGCTGAATGTGAATGAGTGGTGGTGCTAGCTGTGAGCTAGCATCTCCTCAGATAATCTTCATAACCCAGGAACATGGAAGTTGCTTCAGGATCCTGAAGAAGAGTGACAGGCACAGGACAGCCCCCCACCCTCCAACCCCCACCCCCTCCAACACACTGGCAACTGCCCTGTTGCCTTGGGATCTGCCCACAGCTCTGAGGACCCTCATTTTCACCTTTGGAGCTGAACTGTACTCCTGCCCTGAGCCCATCCCAAGAGCCACCCCACGAAAACATGCACATGCAAACACAGGAGCGCACACACATCCGGAGGCTGCTGTCAGGAACTTTAATAAGGCCCGGCCGATGACTCTTGCTTCTTACAGTTATAGGTCAAAGAGGAAGGGCATCACATCGGCACTTTCTGAAAGCTGTCTCGGAAACAGAGATTGTGACGGATTGTATTCTTCCAGCCTTCTTGGAGCTGTCCCGAAGAAAGGGGAGTGCTGTGAATCTGCTCGGTCATGAGCAGGTGCGACTTGGTGAAGGAGAGAAAGCACTTGTTCCCCATGTCCCAGGCCAGGAGCCCGGGGACCTCGCCATGGAGGCTGGCCCAGAAGTCAGAGTCACGGAGCTTTGTGGCCACCGTGGGCGAAGGAGTGGAGCGCAGGTGGGGAGCTCGGCCCCACGCCCACGCCGCTTCTTAAGTAGTCGGCGGTCCAGGTGCAGGCCAAGCAAGCGGCGCAGATGCCCGAGCTCGCCACTGCCCCGAGGGCTCTCTGTGCCCTGGTCCTCGGAACTCAAAGTTTGAGGATCCAGGAGGACGCACAATATGTATCTCACACCTTTTCTCCCCTGGCGCCGCACAAACCTCTCAGAAGGATCCTGCAGCAGGGCTAATAGCGGCTTCCTGAAAGTTCTAATAGGTTTTATGGTTTATCTAAGATCGCATCTATAGTAGGCGGTGGAGCTAGCCTAAGAGTCTAGTTTTTAAGTGTTCTGACCATGAATAAATTATAAATATGTGAGCTAAAACATTTGTTAGATTTAGCCATTGCACAACACGTCTGGCCTGGATTTTGCAGTGATCCTTTTGCGTCAGCTTCCTAAGTGCTGAGATAACAGGTGTGTGCCACCATGCCTGGTTTTGTTTATGTATTTTACACTTGATCTTAGCCAAAAGGCCGAGAAGCGATTGTTGTTTATGTATTTTAAAACATCGTGTTTTTACCATAAATACTTTGGGTTTCTCATATAAGAGAAACATATTTAAGCATTTGTGTCTGATTTATTTTACTTAACATTATGGTCTGTAGGTATATCCATTTTCCTACAAATGACTCAAATTTATCCTTCTTTATAGCAGAGTAGTACTCCTTAGTATGTAAATACCACATTTTCTTTTAAATGTTAATGGACATATAAGATGCTTCAAATATTCAGCTATTATGAATTGTGTGTGTATATATATGTAATTTTTTGCAATTAAAATAAACAAGTAAAGAAATAAAGGACATTGAGAAGTTGAAAGTAAATGGAGCCAGGTGTGGTAGTGCATATCTATAATCCCAGCACTTGGGAGGCTGAGGCAGGAGGATCTCCATGAGTGTGAGGCCAGCCTGGGCTACACAGTGAGTTCAAAACCAGCCTGGACTACACAGTGAGACCCTGTCTCAAAAAAAAAAAAAAATTGATCTGCTGATTACCTCCCTTGTGTACAAATTAAGTAGCATGCTAATAATTCTTTTAATTCTTTGATTTTTCTTTAACAATCTTATTATCTCAAAGTTATTTCATTAACATTCTAGGAAATAAACAGTCTTTCTTTGGTGTCTGCTTTTTGTTACATTAGAAGCCCTTTTCCTGGCACTCAAAGTGAGTTACAAGCTGCTCTGTACTGTATCGCATCGTCTACTGGCTTTCCACTGTGACACACCATTGGCCACGTCTGGCCTCAGTAGTGGGCTGTAGCAATTTCACATACTAGATAAAGTTTCATGCCAAGCATAGCAGCACACATCTGTAAGCTCAACTACTTGGAAGGCTGGAGATCTGAACCTGAGGCTGCTGGCATTCTAGCCAGGCAAGCACTCTGCCACTGTGCTGTATCCCAAACCCTTTGTAGTCAGCTCATCCTGCTCCCTGCATCTCTAATGCCTGCCAACCATGAATTTGTTCTGCATCGCTATAATTTTGTCATTTCTAGAATATTACAGAAGTGGAATTATACATTTAAGGTACCTTTTGAGTTTTTTTTCTTAGAATAATTCCTTTACATCCCATTCCAATTTGTTTCATGTATCAGTAGTTTCTTTTTGCCAGGGATGGTGGTGATGGAGACCCAAACAGAAAGTCTCTAGTTCCCACCTGCTCAGTATGTGATGCAAGGCTGAAGAAATAAATATACTAAAACAGACCCAAGAGAAAAGAGAGAGGACTGGGATGGCCAATGCTGGATCCCTAGCAAAAGACCCTGGTCAGTCACCTCCACTAAATTTTATCATGTCTTTTTTCTTTTTTTTTGGTACTGGGGATTAACTCGGGACCTTTTGCTTGTGAGTCAGGAGGTGGAACCACTGAGCTAAATCCCTGGTCCTTCCACTGAATTTTATTATTCATGAATTAGGGTAACGGTGTAATACGTGTATAGATATGCAGTACGTGCAATTACCATGGAAACTAATGCGGGCAAGGCTTTAAAGAGAAGAGTCAAAACAGTTTCTGGGGGCTGGGGATTTAGCTCAGTGGTTCTGCCACCTGCCTCACAGTTTCAAATTAGAAGCAAGATAGGGCCGGGGATTTAGCTCAATGGTCCCATGCCTGTCTCGCAAACGCAAGGTCCAGAGTTCAATCCCTGGTACTAAAAAAAAAGAAACAAGATAGATAACATATTTGGTTGTAATTAGAACATTGTCTTCTAGCTATGAAGGCACTAATTGTGGGAATGGAATCTGCGTGCAATTTACTCTGACCTCAGCTTCACATGTTATCTTGTATTAGCCTCACAGCTTCATAGGCCGTTACTGTGGTCTCGGCCATGGCTGTTAGCTGGGAGGTCATTCCCCCCACCCCCTGGAGGTCATATTAACCTGCACGTTACCGCAGTGCTCATGAGATGCTTTTGTGAGTCACGTAGCTTCAGTCAGACTTGCTTTGTAAGTAAGCCAGTTGAGGGATTTAACTCTTTACAGCCAGCTTACAGTATGCTTTGGGTATAATCAATATTATGGCTTCCTGCATGGTGGCACATGCCCGTCATCCCAGATATTCAGGAGGCTAAAGTCAGAGGGCCAGAAGTTTAAAAACAGCCTGGGCAACTTAGCAAGACTCTGTCTCAAAAATAAAGTAAAGGGGAGTGGCAGAGGCTGAGGATGTAGCTCAGTGCTTCCTGGGTTCAATTCCTAGTACTACAAAAAAGTTTCTTTTTGCTGGGGATGTAGCTCAGTGGCACAGTGCCTGCAAGGCTAGCTCGAGGCTCTGAGTTTGATTCCTGGTACTAAACAAACAAACCAACAAAAAAAGGGCTAGGGATGTAGCTCAGTACAAGAGGCTCTGAGTTCAATCTCCAGTACCACCACAGAAAAAAAAGTTTCTTTTTATTGTTATGTATTTTGTGGGATGGATGTATTACTCTTGTTTCTTTTTTTTGGTACCAGGGATCAAACTCAGGTCCTTGTGGCTGCAAGGCAGGCGGCAGAACCACTGAGCTAAATCCCCAGCCCTCTTGTTGTTGTTTTAAACCAGGGTCTTGCTTTATAATCTGGGCTGTCTTTGAAGTTGAGATCCTCCTGCCTCAGCTCCACAATTCTGGGACCATAGGTGTGCCACCATACTTGGCTGGATTGTATTGCTCTTTAACCATACATTCATTGAAAGACATTTGAGTTTTTTTCAGTTCTTTGGTTATTGTAAATAAAACTTATGAACATTTGGGCATAGATTTCCTTTCTGTATGATTGTATGTTTTCATTTCTCTTGGATAAATGCCCAAGTGATTATGTCAGGTTATGTATTAAGTGCATGTTTCATTTTATAAGAAACTGACAGATTATTTTCCAGGGTAATTTTTTTTGCTGGTGGTGGTTCTACTGAGAATTGAACCAGGGCCTTCACAACTATATCTATGTTTACAGCTACATAACTGGGAGGTACATCCTCCGCTCATTTTTATTTTTTGTTTTGAAACAGGGGGTCTCACTAAGTTGCCCAGGCTGGGCTTGCATTTGCCGTCCTCCTGCCTCAGCCTCCCACAGTGGTGGGATTATAGGTGTGTACCACCATGCCCAGCTTTCAGCAATTCTTTTACACTCTGCCTGTATTTTACAATATATGAGAAATTCAGTTTCTGCATCCTCACCAGCATTCGATGTTTATCACTATTTTTCAAATTTTTAGTTATTCTATTATTCTAGTAAGTGTGTATGACATCTCATTGTGGTTTTGGCTTGCACTTACACAATGGCTAATGATGTTGAGCACCTTTCCAAGAGCATCTAATGTATATTTTTGAAATGATCTCTAAGGACCCATCAAAACTTAAAGCAAGAGCTAGGTGTGATGATGCATGCCCATAATACCACAACTTGGGAGCCTGAGGCAGGAAGATCATGCGTTTGCAGCATAAGAATGAGGATAGTGAGTTCAAGACAAACCTGGACTACATAGGGAGACACTGTTATCAAAACACAAACAAAAAACTAAATAAAGCAAACTGGGTGTGGTGGTGCACACCTGTAATCCCTATACTCAGAAGGCTGAGGCAGGAGGATCTCTTCAAGTTCAAGGCCAGCCTGAACTATATAGTGAGACCCTGCCACCCAACTACCCCCCAAAACGCCAAGGAGCTAGGGTCTGTTATCCTTTTCAAGGGCCTCCGCTGTGACCCAATTTCCTGCTGCAGGCCCAGGCTCCTAAAGGTCCCACCACATCCACATAGCACCACAGGCTGCTGCCTTCACCACACGGGCTCTGGGGACACTTACTGTGCTATAGGAATTAGAAATACAGATACTGAAATGGCTTAGCATAGTGCACGGCAAAAATGTTTCTCAGTAAATACCAGCTTCTGTTAGTACTGAGAATGAGACTTCATAATTTTCTTTAGTACTCGGTTTATTTAAAACATCCAATCCTTTTAAGCTCTAGTAAGTGGACTAGTGTTTATGTTCAGGAACAGGGTCATGCTGTGACTGCCTGGCGATCTCCTTCCATGCTGCCTGAATGAGCAGTAGACTGTCTTTTGCAGTTGTACAGTTAATACCAGCATGTTCCTAGTAGACTCTTGTATTTGTCAACCTCAAAATTTAAAGCTTAGGATGTGGTTCAGTGGTACCACACCTGCCTGGCAAGCACAAGGTCCTGAGTTCAATCCCCAGTACCGGGAAGAAAAAAATATTTAAAGTTTAACAAAGACTTTTTTTTTTGGTACCGGGGATCAAACTCCGGTCCTTGTTCTTGCGAGGCAGGTGGTGGAACCACTGAGCTAAATCCCCAGCCCAAGACTTTTTCTATATTAATTGTCAGACCAAATCCTAACAAATCAAAGACAAAAGAACTCATATTTATTTAATCTTAAGGGTTCCCAAAACAGGCCTATCTGTTTCTCTGTTGCAACTTTATTTTCCTGGGTTTATTTTCTCAACCAGATGTCCAAAGAAAATGCTAAAGGCTGTCAGGCATGGTGGCGCACACCTGTAATCCCAGCACTTGAGAGGCTGAGGCAGGAGGATTGCTTCCAGTTTGAGGCCATCCTTGGCTACATAGTGAGTTCAAGGCCAGCCTGAGCTAGAGAGTGAGACCCTGACTCAAAAAAAAAAAGCGCCAAGTGAGAGTGCTGTGCTGTCATCACTCTCTAATGTTAATGCATGCACTCCACATAATGAGGGTTATGACATGTGATCAATGCCGATCTGTCATCAACAAACTGCATTTATTGTTTACAGTGGGAATTCAATTCAAGCACAATGTGTCAATTATCTGTCTCCCTGAACAAATATTAAACAATGATCACATTTCTAGAAATGTTAATGCAGGACTTGGAGGTGAACATGGTGAATTTTTTCCTGATAATTAAGGACCGAAAAAGAAAGACAAAGGAAACAGGTGAGGGGAATAAGGGAGATAACATCTGTATGAGGTGAGAATACCTGATCATGTTAATGCAGACCTTAGTACTTCACCAATGAGATATGAAACCACAGCTT